GTTCCACTGAAGTGGGAAATGTCTTAACTATTACACTTTGGGCTTTCCTAAACATTAATGAGTTAGTGAGTATGGTTTTACGCTGCTTTTAGTAATATTCCAGCAATATCACAGCGGGGTCACCGGAAAAGGGCTTCACACATTGTACCCATGTGCGGAATCAAACCCGTGACAAGAGAACGCTTCAACCACTAGGCTACCCCACCGCCCTCCTTCCACATTAAGCTAGCACTCCATGATATACATGTAACTATAAGCGTCAAACCCAACTCTCTCACTCACTCAGTGATTTCTGTGCTATGCAACAAATACACACCCACTCTTGACTTCATGAAATATGAAGTCCAACCAATCAATCATTGCTCACATCCATCAAATAAATGTACACAAATGTCTTGCACAATTTGTAAAAATATATATGACAAAATGCCTAATGCTTACATCTGAAAACAAAATAGGAAATGAAAAACAAGGCCGCCTCCTGTGAAAGCCGACATGCTGGGATATCACCCATCAAATAAATGAAATCAAATGTCTTCCACGGTTTGTGAAAGTAAGATTCATGAAAATAATTTTAAAAATATGAAATGGATATTGCCTCACATTTTGAAAAAATATGAAAAATAAGGTCTCCTCCTATGACAGCCATCATGCTGCTATCACCCATCAAATAAATATACTCAAATGTCTTGCACAGTTTGTAAACATAAATAAAAAATATTTCAAATGGATATTGCCTCACATTTTGAATAAAAATAGATTTTGAAAACTAGGTCTTCCCTGTAACAGCCAACAAATACACATCTAAATTTGTAAAAGACTTGCCATGAAATATGAAGTCCAACTAATCAATCATTGCTCACATCCATCAAATAAATGGGTACATAGTAAATGTCTTGCACAATTTGTAAAAATATATATGACAAAATGCCTAATGCTTACATCTGAAAACAAAATAGGAAATGAAAACAAGGTCGCCTCCTGTGAAAGCCTACATGCTGGGATATCACCCATCAAATAAATGAAATCAAATGTCTTCCACAGTTTGTGAAAGTAAGATTCATGAAAATAATTTTAAAAATATGAAATGGATATTGCCTCACATTTTTTGAAAAATATGAAAAATAAGGTCTCCTCCTATGACAGCCATCATGCTGCGCTATCGCCCATCAAATAAATATACTCAAATGTCTTGCACAGTTTGTAAACATAAAATAAAAATATTTCAAATGGATATTGCCTCACATTTTGAATAAAAAATAGATTTTGAAAACTAGGTCTTCTCCTGTAACAGCCGTCATGCTGGGATATAAACTAAATTTGTAAAAAGTACAATTTCTGTGGACTCCATGAACCACAACATGAGACTAGGAACCTACTCTCCTTATTAACCCTGTGTATATCAAGGACGGGCTCTTAGTGTAATATGCCTCCACACTTGCCGACAACATGAGACTAGGAACCTACTCTCCATATTAACCCCGTGTATATCAAGGACGGGCTCGTAGTGTAATATGCCTCCACACTTGCCGACAACATGAGACTAGGAACCTACTCTCCATATTAACCCTGTGAATATCAAGGACGGGCTCCAAGTGTAATATACCTCCACACATGCCGACAACATGAGACTAGGAACCTACTCTCCATATTAACCCTGTGTATATCAAGGACGGGCTCTTAGTGTAATATGCCTCCACACTTGCCGACAACATGAGACTAGGAACCTACTCTCCATATTAACCCCGTGTATATCAAGGACGGGCTCTTAGTGTAATATGCCTCCACACTTGCCGACAACATGAGACTAGGAACCTACTCTCCATATTAACCCTGTGTATATCAAGGACGGGCTCTTAGTGTAATATGCCTCCACACTTGCCAACAACAACATGAGACTAGGAACCTACTATATCAAGGATGGGCTCTATATTAACCCCACACTTTTGTATATCAAGGATATCGGGGGCTCCAAGTGTAATATACCTCCACACTTGCCCGACAACATGAGACTAGGAACCTACTCTCCATATTAACCCTGTGTATATCAAGGACGGGTCTCCAAGTGTAATATACCTCCACACTTGCCCGACAAGATGAGACTAGGAACCTACTCTCCATATTAACCCTGTGTATATCAAGGACCCAGTCTCCAAGTGTAATATACCTCCACATTTACCCGACAATATGAGACTAGGAACCTACTCTCCATATTAACCCTGTGTATATCAAGGGATCTGGGCTCCAAGTGTAATATACCTCCACACTTATATCAAGGATGACAATATGAGACTAGGAACCTACTCTCCATATTAACCCTGTGTATATCAAGGATGGGCTCCAAGTGTAATATACCTCCACACTTGCTGACAACATGAGACTAGGAACCTACTCTCTCATGTATTAACCCTGTGTGATATCAAGGATGGGCTCTAAGTGTAATATACCTCCACACTTGCCAACAACATGAGACTAGGAACCTACTCCATATTAACCCTGTGTATATCAAGGATGGGCTCTAAGTGTAATATACCTCCACACTTGCCGACAACATGAGACTAGGAACCTACTCTCCATATTAACCCTGTGTATATCAAGGATGGGCTCTAAGTGTAATATACCTCCACACTTGCCGACAACATGAGACTAGGAACCTACTCTCCATATTAACCCTGTGTATATCAAGGATGGGCTCTAAGTGTAATATACCTCCACACTTGCCGACAACATGAGACTAGGAACCTACTCTCCATATTAACCCTGTGTATATCAAGGACAGTCTCCAAGTGTAATATACCTCCACACTTGCCGACAACATGAGACTAGGAACCTACTCTCCATATTAACCCTGTGTATATCAAGGACGGGCTCCAAGTGTAATATACCTCCACACTTGCCGACAACATGAGACTAGGAACCTACTCTCCATATTAACCCTGTGTATATCAAGGACGGGCTCCAAGTGTAATATACCTCCACACTTGCTGACAACATGAGACTAGGAACCTACTCTCCATATTAACCCTGTGTATATCAAGGACGGGCTCCAAGTGTAATATACCTCCACACTTGCCACAACATGAGACTAGGAACCTACTCTCCATATTAACCCTGTGTATATCAAGGATGGGCTCTAAGTGTAATATACCTCCACACTTGCTGAACAACATGAGACTAGGAACCTACTCTCCATATTAACCCTGTGTATATCAAGGATGGGCTCTAAGTGTAATATACCTCCACACTTGCCAACAACATGAGACTAGGAACCTACTCTCCATATTAACCCTGTGTATATCAAGGATGGGCTCCAAGTGTAATATACCTCCACACTTGCCAACAACATGAGACTAGGAACCTACTCTCCATATTAACCCTGTGTATATCAAGGATGGGCTCCAAGTGTAATATACCTCCACACTTGCCGACAACATGAGACTAGGAACCTACTCTCCATATTAACCCTGTGTATATCAAGGATGGGCTCTAAGTGTAATATACCTCCACACTTGCCGACAACATGAGACTAGGAACCTACTCTCCATATTAACCCTGTGTATATCAAGGATGGGCTCTAAGTGTAATATACCTCCACACTTGCCGACAACATGAGACTAGGAACCTACTCTCCATATTAACCCTGTGTATATCAAGGATGGGCTCTAAGTGTAATATACCTCCACACTTGCCGACAACATGAGACTAGGAACCTACTCTCCATATTAACCCTGTGTATATCAAGGATGGGCTCCAAGTGTAATATACCTCCACACTTGCCGACAAAATGAGACTAGGAACCTACTCTCCATATTAACGCCGTGTATATCAAGGACGGTCTCCAAGTGTAATATACCTCCACACTTGCCGACAACATGAGACTAGGAACCTACCCTCCATATTAACGCTGTGTATATCAAGGACGGTCTCCAAGTGTAATATACCCCCACACTTGCCGACAAAATGAGACTAGGAACCTACCCTCCATATTAACGCTGTGTATATCAAGGACGGTCTCCAAGTGTAATATACCTCCACACTTGCCGACAAAATGAGACTAGGAACCTACCCTCCATATTAACCCTGTGTATATCAAGGCGGGCTCCAAGTGTAATATACCTCCACACTTGCCAACAACATGCCACAGTCTTCCTTTAATCTGCCAGTGATTTATGTTCAGAACCTGCCAACAGGCAGATTATACAGCTTACACCTGTCTTGTCGTACCTTGATTGCCAGTAATTAATAATCCTCTATAGGTCCATGTTATCCCATCCTCTGGCAGGTGTTATAGGGGATACTGTATAGCACTTGTTCAATATACACTGTAGGGGCTGGACTTAGTCATGGTTGTGTATCTGTAGTAGAACTATTGATGATAAGACTTCTTATATGTGTATATTCAAACATGAGATCATTGAATCAATGTCACTGGAGCAGTATGCACTTACTTTTCATTCTCAACTCCCTGGGGAGCATGTAATACATGCTGCTTGAGAGGTGCATGAAAGGGTGAAAATCCCATAATCATTTCATCCTACCGGGTACCCTGTAGGGCTATGTATTGTCAAATATACTGACTTGCAATATATAACAATATAGGTATCATTGCCAATACACAGCCCAACTGGGGATCCATGAAGATCCGGGTTAGAAGTGGTCTTCAGTAATCCATACTTGTCGTAACAGGTGACTAACGGGATCAGGTGATCAGGCTCGCTGACTTGGTTGACATATATCATTGTACCCCAATTGTGTAGATCAATGCTCATCCTGTTAATCACTGGATTGTCTGGTCCAGACTCGATTATTTACAGACCACTGCCATATAGCTGGAATATTGCTGAGTGCAGTGTTAAACAACAATCAATAAAAAAAATCAATAAATTCTATAAATCAGTTGTCAAATCCATGGACTCCAACTGGTCTAGACTTTTCTTGAGCGTTAGTCCATTTGACTTTGTGAAGAAAATGAACATAATACTGCTGTCTTATGTTTTCAGGTATGTGTTCGATCGATCGTTCTACGAACGACACCGACCTGTCGGACACCCTGAACCTTCCGTCATTTCTCTCAGTAGATGTAAGTATATAAGGGATGGTTGATGAGTCCCCCTTTTTAAATATTCCAGACCTGGGAGACTACTGGAGTGATGTCCGTCATTTGTTGCAGTCATAATGTATCTCGATAGTAAGGTCGTGATACCAAACATTTCTGTGCTTAAATATATACTCTTAAAAAAAAGTAGAGAAACTTCATTTTTAATTTACAATTGAAAATATTGGGAGATATATTAGAGTCAATCAATGTTGATATGATAATAATGTTTTGAGAGTGCATCACTACTTGCACTTCCTTAGGACCATATTTTTTGTACAGTAATCGTTCTTGAAAGATGATTGTTGTATGACATGAAATTTGCATGTGTACAATTTTCATTTTCAAACAAAAAATCGGCTAGAAACAAACACTAACACCTGTGTGATGAAAGATGATTGTCAAAATTAATGATCTACAGTGATTTATCGACCTTCTTGAAAACCATCAAGATCAAGAATGATACACCATGCACAAGTATGGGGCTACCGTGCATCCCATGCATTGTGTTGGCATAGGGGTGGCGATAAAGAGAAATGGTGGTGCGTTTGCTAACCCTTATACTTCCTATCCATATTGAAAGTTCAGGTTCCCCTACCATATTTAAGAGTATATGTGTAACCCAACTAAAATGTGTTCCGTCAGTTATAATGAAATAATACACCTGTGTCTTTATGATATTGTTACGCAAAAGCAGGAATTCGTATTTTATAAGGACGCCGATTTATTTGCCATGTTTGTGTCAGATTTGTTTACATGCATTTTCCACTGTAATGTGCTCAAATATTTTCAAATTGTCTTTGTGTGGGAGGGGCACTAAAATTGTTGGTAATGATTTGGCAACACGTAGACAATGTTTGTAACTTGTAAGTCACTACTGAAACACTTTTCAAAATATTTCTATTGTGTGTTTTTTTAAATAATCCCATAACACTGAGTGTGTACATTCTTTTGTATGTCAGCTTAGTTCAATGTTTATGAGACCCATTAAAGGCACAATGTCACACATTTTGAACAATATTTTGTCCTATTGATATTATACATATAAAAAACACTCACTCACTTTAGCTTCCTACTGATACAATAAAAGACTTATTATCCCTTACGACTTGCCTCAAATCAATAATTCAGACTTCGAGCAAACAGCTTCCAAACAGACAAAACTTGCCACATATTGAGTGTAAACATCGAAAACTGTCACAGGCAGTTTTGTCGGTGTTTGCCGAACTGGTTTCAATCACAAGTTGTGAGTAGGATGTTCGTAATGAGCGCTCTAAAGAGTGCACTTGAAATAATGTTCGGCCGGTAGCGGGTGCAAGAGTCGATTTAATGCAACGTTGCAGTAATTCATTTGAAAGTTTTTATTTAATATTGTGATCTAAATGCATAATATCTTTTGGAATAAACTATATGGTAGCTTCCCTGAGGGCTGATAGTATTATTGAGAGAAATGCATTATTTGTTTTTAGTGAGTGAGTGAGTGTGTTTAGTTTTACGCCGTACTCAGCAATATTCCAGCTATATGGCGGCAGTCTGTAAATAAGCGAGTCTGGACCAGACAATCCAGTAATCAACAACATGAGCATCGATCTGCGCAAATTGGGAACCGATGACATGTGTCAACCAAGTCAGCGAGCCTGACCACCTGATCCTCTTACAACAAGCATGGGTTACTGAAGACCAATATTCTAACCCAGACCTTCATGGGTTTATTTATTTTTAGAGAAGTGTGATGTGATACAGTGCCTTTAACTTATCTCATGTTGACATATTTGTCAGAGAAGGGCGATCATATAATGGCCCAGGAACACAGATCTCCCCTGCACAACCTTCTGCATGACAGGATTGTTTAGTGAAATTCATTCATGGGGCCGTGGTGGGCGAGCGATCTAAGGTGCCAGGCTGGTGATCCAGCGAGCTAAAGATGCTGGGATCGAGCCTACCTGTGACTGGGTGTAAAAACCTTGGAGTCAACTTTGTGTGCAGACTCTTGCAGTGTTGTAAAACAATCCCTAGTGTACATGGGCTCGTAACTCGAAGCAGTATTTAGATTGTCTTTAATTAAGGCTAATCATCAAGCATACATTATTTCAACGTTGTGTAACTCAAAGTAATCCATAAAATTGGGACAATCCTTAAAAGGCAAGTTAGCGACTGTGTTTAAGGTGTACCCATGACCAACCTTTAAGCAGTCTTTAACTGGTCGTAATCCATATCAACCTATCAAAATGGCAATTTATATCTACGACAGAAAAATCCATAATGTCAACCGTGTATTCCACAACAGAAATAATCCGTTAGACACACTGAATGATGCCGAAATACAGCAAGATTCAGACACAACAGGTTTTTAACTGTGTGATTTAATCAGAGATGATGTTGCACGTCCTACATGTCTGTCAAATGCTCTAAGTGTATCACTTCAAGTTGTGACAGCGCTTCGTTATTATGCAACTGGGAGCAAACATGCCAATGAGTATTTTAATTTTCCCAAAATACAAGTTGAAAAACAGAAAATGAAAGCTGATTTCATCCAAATAGCTGATTTTCCAAATGTGCTTGGATCTATAGACGGTTCCATAATCCCAATCAAAGCGCCAAGAAAAGATGAACATTTGTTTATATCTAGGAAAGGATACCATGGCATAATTGTTTAACTTGTGAATCATTTCAGGGCTCAACTGCAAATACCAAACATATTTGAACAATGGCCTGGCAGCATTCACGATTCTCATATCCTACCCATCACAAGTGTAGACTCACTAGTGTAAATGTAGCCACTTACTTCAGTCAACTGTTCTAAACTAGATTTTCAAAATATTCCACACTGCTTGAAGGTGCTTGTTTACACATGAACTGATGTATTGTAAAACGAATTAGTAACGTTGAAAAAATTATTGTCATGAGTTCAATAAATGATGACACTCAGTGAAAATTGGCAAATTCTTAAAACTTTACACCAAAATGCAGCTGTTCACATGCACGATATTCACACATGTGACTCAGCAATTTGATGCATGATACTCGTGCAGTTCACCTGCATAAATTTGGCAGTTGGTTCCCCCAAGGTAGTGGAGAAATTCATCTTCGATGTAACCATATAAATATTCATAACATATAGGGAGTGCTTTCAGTGAGTCTAAACTTTTGATGGGTAGTATATTTGGAATCTGTGAAACCTGAAGCATTCATTGTTGGTGGGAGATTGTTGGTTGCTAGGAGACAGTGGGTATGCATGTGCTCCATGGATGACTACTCCTATGTTGAATCCTACAAGACCAAATGAACAACGGTATAACATCTCTCAGCGTAAAACCCGAAACACAAGTGAAAGGACAATCGGTGTTTGGAAAATGAGATTTTGTTGTCTTCACAAATCTGGAGGGTGCATGCTATTTGAACTTTCAAAATGTTGCAAAATAATAGTTGCAACGGCAAGGCTGCACAATATTTGCATCGCAAAAGGCCTACAACTTCATGATGAACTTGATGACAATGAGGTGAGGTGAGGTGAAATTGGGTTTAACGTTGTGCTTGAGAATATTTCGCTCATATGATGACGTGCATGCGTGTGTATGTGTATGTGCGGCTGCTTGTACTAACCCAGACTGAAGCTGGTTTTATAGTGCTAGCCCACTGAGATGCCATGCCGCAGTGAAGCACGAATACCCCACTCAGACACATTATACTGACTCCGAGCCGACCAGTCCTTGTTGTACCCATTAATGCCGAGCGCCAGGCAGGGACCAACAAGTACCATATTTTAACGTCTTTTGGTATGACGCGGTCGGGGATCGAACCCGCGACCTTCCGCTCTCCGGGCGAACGCTCTAACCACTACACCACGGAGGCGGCCTGATGACAATGAAGATGAGGATGATGATAACTTCTTAATTCGTGGAAATCAACAACAAAGAAATGGTTTTGGAGTTAAAAACAATTTAATCGAAACGATATATTTTCAAGGAAATGAAAATTCAACAGAAAAAGAGCAACGTGTAAAACAAAATTCAACATGTATAATCTTTGTAAATATTGCAAAACGACCTGCTTTCAAAATATTTAACGTGTCAATATATGGTTTTAACAGTTGAAAAATCTTTTCAAAAGGGGAATCCCATTGTCTTTAACCTTGCCTAAGCTGTCTATATTTACCCTTTTTTAAGAACGCCTAACGAACGCTTAACGATTGTTTAGCGAATGCTTCGTGTTACGAGCCCCAGTACACAACCCTGTGCACTTAAAAGTACCCTTGATTCTGTTGGTATATATGACCAGATGGTAGCCACATGAATATGTGCAAATACCCAGTTGCGGGTACAGTAACGTGCAGTAAACTTGGACAAAGTACTGTGACTATGTGTCTCAGTCCAAACAACTGTGAATGGGTACCTCGTAAGGATGGGAAAGCTACACTAACTCTGTGCGCCTAGTGGCTGCAAGAGTTGTATGATCCCCATGGAGTTGAGATTGATAATACGACGTGCCTTTGAGATTGACATCCAGTGATCAAGGGAAAAACAAAGCACCTTTGAGCAGCTGAGCTTGTTCTTTTTTTTGTGTGGTAAAACCTGAAGACAAATTAGTTTTTTAATCCTTTTTTAGAAACAGATGTTTTTTTATTGAAAGACTGCCTTCACGTTGTTGGAATATTGCTGGTCGCAATGTCAACAGGAAAACAAACTATTCAGCTTAAATACGAGTGTACATTTAGCATTGACTACAGTCTTTTTCCATGTTATTTCTTCCTGTATAATGTGATTTGAATGTGAACAAACTTAATATAAAGCATATATATACTCTCCCAAGAAAGAAACGCATATAGGAATTTCAACTGTATTTTTATGTTTATTTTGAAACATCTTGTAGGCTTTATGAGTCAGTGAAATATAGCGAAATTGCACACTGGGAATGCAGACTTATCCGTTTTTGTCACCAACTCGAGGAAAGTCAGTTTGAGTGTCACATGGAGACGTGTGGTGGCGCTGAAGTCAATACCTCGTGTGACCACCGTGGGCATCCAGAACTGCACGGCATCGCCTCGGCATCGAACGAATAAGTCTCAGAATCTCGTGTTGCCCAATCACAGCCCACTCTGCCTGTAGTGCCTGTGCGAGTTGCTGAAGTGTCTGGGGCTGAGGGTTATGGCGTCACACCTGTCTGTCCAGGGCATCCCACAGATGTTCGATCGGGTTTAAGTCCGCTGATCTTGAGGGCCAGGGGAGCACATTGATGTTGTGGTTCTGGAGGAAGTCTCTAGTGTGACGTGCTGTGTGGGGCCTGGCATTGTCCTGTTGAAACAATTCCCTCTGGCGATCAATGATTGGAAGGAGGTGTGGGCGTGGATTTCGGCCACAGTACCGCTGAGCTGTCAGGTTGCCCTGGATCATCACCAAATCACTTCTCCTATGGCAGGTGATCGCCCCCACATCATAACACTGCCCCGGCCGAATCTGTCCACCTGGGGAACGCAGGCGCCGGTGAAACGCTTCACGCCGACGCCTGTACACCGGCATTCTTCCATCGCGTGCTCAAATAGAAATCGTGATTCGCCACTGAACCAGATTCTACGCCAATTCGGTAGGTTCCAGGCCTGAACGTTGGTGCACCATTGAACTCGATATCGACGATGTTGTTGTCAAGCACAGGGCCAAAATAAGGTCTTCTGGCACGTAAACCAGCCTCTCTCAACCTGTTCCTGATGATCTGTGCAGAAAGCCTCCTCAATCCGGTATTTGTCGAAGCGGTACTGGTCGCCGTAGCTGTTCGATGACGCAGGTGATGTACCGGATGTAGCGATCCTGGCGCCGCGAGTGGTCGCCTCCAGGTCGCGAACTACTTAGGGGCATCTGCTACCGCGATTCTGCCAGCCATATCTCTCCCAGAGCCGTGAAATGGTGCTTTGGTGAACATTCATGCGTCGGGCAACTGCACGTTGAGACTGGCCAGCTTCAAGCAAACCAATGGCGATATGACGGTTGGCTTCACTTAGACGTGGCATTTTGTGTTCGTCAACAATATTCCAAATACAGTGAATAATCGACAGACAGTGATCAACCTTTTATACCCATCATTGAGACTATCTGATCCCCAACTTTCACGTGCATTACATGTGAATTGTGTATTCCGTGACACTAAACACCGAAATTGGAAATCATGGTGTTAAATACGGGTATTTTATGGATGGTGCGTTTTGTTGTGATGTTTCAAAACATAAACACCATAGGACTCATAAACAGAGCAAAATCTTTTGTAAAATGAATCACGTTTTAATTCATTGCTACATGAAATTGCTATTTTCCTGATGCGTTTCTTTTTTGGGAGAGTATAAAACCTATTAAGCTTTGATAATAGGACTGTATAGCAGTAAAAAACACACTTAGTGAACCTTCCTCAGTAAAAAAACTTTTATGAATTGGAATGATTATTCAGGGAATAAACACCCTTGGACACACGAACATAAATAAATAAGTAATAAATCCATATTTTCCCTCTGCCAGTGTCTTAATCTAAAACAAAGCACAGTTCCGCGGTGTGTAATATAACTGTCAAGACATGATGCGAATACGTACACACCTACAGCTGGATAAGATTGTTGTTATCAGCACGACCACTAATGTATTTACCGACTGCCTGTAATCAGTCACATATTTACCACACTTCTTCACACCATCAATGCTAGAACAGTGTTCCCCTGTGACAGAGGGCGAGAGCAGTTGAAGCAAGATAAAGGTGATAAACTACCTCGATTATCCTGCGTAACTTGCAACTGTATTACTTAATGCAAGTTGCACACATGTTGTTTTGATAACAGCACACTTGTCTGTACCTGCCTGATGCTTGTGTGATATTGTTCGTATCTACCACCTATCATCATGGGTATTATTCCGGTCTGAACTTCTTGATAATTATCTGACTATCATATTTTTTCAAGGTTTATGGGTGTATTTAGGATTAATTTTTAGGGTCGGAAAATAGGTCAACCCATACATATTTATATTTACATTTTCTTACAACTGTCAGTGGGTTGGTTGAAATAGGATTTGGTACGACTGAAAACTGATAATTACATTAATATAAACACATCAAGTTAGTGTCAGAGTGAAATTTTACACCATATGTTTAGTTCTTTTATCATCAGATTACAATTTTGGTTTATTGTTTATTTGATGCTAGTGTATATTTTGTATATTTCATTTTTTTTTTTCCGTTTTATGGAAAGAATCTGCTAAACTTGTGATATTCATTAACTTGTTTGTCATTTGTGCACTTATTCATGTTTGCAATATGTTGTTTAATCACCATAGTACAGTTGGATAGTTTTGCTGGAGTTGTAGAAAGAGTTGTACAAATGCCCAGTGAACAGTATTTCCACCATATCATGTCAGCTTATGTGGAAAGAAGCCTTCGATAATTGGGCCACTCTGTCTCATTTTTATCTTGAAATGACAGTAACATTGGCAGTTGTGTTTGTTCCCAGAACAATCTAGAAGACAGCCTGTTTTTCCTGGGGTCTACTGGTACGGGAATCAGCTTCCACAACCATGCTGATGCCTGGAACGCCGTCATTTTCGGGTGCAAGCGATGGTTCCTGTACAACATTGACCAAAACCCCCCAGGCGGTGAGTTGTCTGCCCGTTTTTTGTCCTGTTACAATGTAACTATTGTTTCTGTTGAGGTGACACAAACTACCAGTCAAAAAAAGTATACTCTTGAAAGTGGGATGAACAAGTAAGGTTCAAATCGTTTTTCGTAAAACTGCAAACTTTTCCCCATCAAATATATCACCATCAAATAAATATTCATTGTTTCTTTCATTTTTAGCTAAAAGTCAATCTTGGTCATACACCTTCATTTTTTTGGCAGCTCACTTACAGAAAATAGGGGTTGGTTGCTAACTGGTGTACCAGTAAAGTGATATTACTGTTATGTCAAATATATTATAATAGTTGGATGATGATGATGATGATGATGATGATGATGATGATGATGATGATGATGATGATGATGATGATTTTATATGTTGGCATTTTTAAAAAAATAATTATTTGTTTGTTTTTATTTCAACAAGGTGGGCTGTAATTGTACCCCATGCATAATTGTAAGATTTTGGAGTCTTCATAGTGTCAGTAAAAACAAAATAAACACCAGGCCTTCATTCCATACAGGCCTGAAATAGACAACAAATCCAAGGTTTACATGAAAGTAGTGGACTCCAGGCTATCTGATAGAGGAAATTTGCGTATCAAAGTGATCTCCCTAACTATCATCACTGAATGTACATGTTACCTGTATATATGTTACAGGTGTGTCCCCAGGATATGGGCAACTAGACTGGTATCACAATCTGTACCCAAACCTGACAAAAAAAGAAAAGCCAACGGAGTGTATTCAGGAACCAGGCGAGATACTCTACCTGGTCAGTTTACTGTCTACTGTCTGCTGTCTGCTGCCTAACTAACAGATACTATGTGTTTATTACTGGCCCATGGAAGATACTGCAATGTAATATTTTTGTTGCAATATTACACTAGTGTAATACCGCTAGACATATGATGTCATATTGGTTACAGTTATGACATCCACAATGCTAATGCCTCTGTCGCAATGGTATTAGACCTTGCCTGACTGGCTGAATAATTGATATGAGAGTCATCACACTGTAGGCAGTTTCTATCAATTGATGTTCCTTGAGTAATGAACACAAACTAAACTCTCTTCTGTGAAATACCATTTTTATTAAACTCGTGAAAGATTTAGTATCAAATCATTAACTTGTTATATAAAATTGGTATTACACGGAAGGTCATTTAGTATCCTCTGTTTACTAATATATTTTCAGAGGATAATTACTGATTTAAACCCAACAATATAAAATCTTTTAAATTTTTATAATTGAATTAAAATATGTAAGACTGCCTTTTGCTATTCAGAATTTTTTTAAATATTATTATTTTTAGTTGGACATAGGGTACAATTCCAAAGAGTAATCTTATACAGCATTCAAAATTTCATGTTGAAACTTTGTATGCACACCAGGCTAATGCTGAACTGGTGCATTTTGCAATGCAATAAAAGAAATTATATTTTATTTTATTTTTCCTCGACAATTTTGAATTCAAAAGAGGGTATGGTTTGTTTCCAGACCATTATTGTACCTATAGGCTGTTATCGGTCCCCTAGCCTTTGATTTCTGTGAAAGGTGACAAAATGGATTAGGTAGTCAGATTTGGTTAATTTTATCCTTATAGCATGGAATGTTGATCAAAATATCAATGTGATTTTACAAACCACTATAATGACCTATGTTATCGCTATTATAACATTTATAAATCATTATGTTGACAAAGATGATTATAAGTCCTGTACTTTAACGCTGACGTACCACAGGCAAAGTGATAAAATGTCATCATATCCCAGCTGTGTATCCTAGGTCAAGGCTCATGATGTCAATCACTGGATTGTCTGGCCCAGACCTGATTATATACAGACTGCCTACATATAGCTGGTGTATTGAGTGTGGCCTTATACAAAAGGCCACACTCAAGATCTCAAAGAATTTCTGTATAAAATTGGACCTTGGCTCATCGTCCTTTTGTGATGAGAAGGGAAATATGGTAATATTCAAATTGGCATCAAACTCAACAGACTCACTCACTTGTCCTCCCCAGCCTGAAGGAGTGTACCATGGGACCATCAACATTGGAGACACTATAGCCATTGGTATCCAGAAGAAAGAGGCAGTCACTGATGCTATGAAGTATATTTATGAAGGTGAGAACTCACGCCTAGAATTGTCCTGTCAGGGTGCCATTTGTCAAAATATGGGGGATGTGTAACCTTTTTGTTAAAGGAATCAAAATTTCAGAACAATCTTTGGTTCAAATTCCATTCAACCTGATTATGTTTTTGGGTGTGGTTTCAATTCCATTCCCCGGCTTAAGGAATTCAGCAGCTTTGTGTTTTATCAAAGACCTGCAAAACTCCAGGTTCCCCTTCTTCTATAAGCTGATGTTACTGAAATGCTGTTCTCTTTCTCTGAGAAATTATGATTATAAGATGTCACAAGAATATGAAATGCAGTGATAATTTGGTGAAAGAAAATCCAGGGAAAATATGTTGTGATCTCTGCTGTTTGATGGAAGAGCAGTAGGTCAAGACCTAGGTCATAAAATCCAGGGCCTAGATTTTCGAAGCTCTCTTAACGCTAAGATAGTCGTAAGTTAATGTTAATGAATGGCACTTACGACTATCTTAGCTCTAAGAGAGCTTCGAAAATCTAGGCCCAGATCTTTCTTTCTTATACAATATCACGCAGTGTGATATGAAGATCTGTGGTCACCTCCACAGCAAGTCTGATTTCTTTAACCAGGATGAGGCTGCTAAGCATTCAGGCAGAATATCTGATTCCTGTACCTTGAAAACAAACATAATCAGAGAGTTCTAAATGCAAAAATATGAGGTTGCAAATTTTTGCAGTCACTTTAAGTATCTAGGCATTTCTAATGCCATAGCATTTATATGCCAAATGCATGTATTATCAAGTGTGTGTAATGTTCTCTGTGACAGTTTTCTTGTTAAAGATTGAAATTTCCAAACAAGATGGTACAGAAATGAAGCTGAATCATCTTAGCCTGCTGACATCTGAATGAATCAGAAACCCTGGCTTTCTTTAGGTGTTACATTTGGTGGTCATAGCTCTCAGTTCACCATGTAATTGCTTATCGAGGTGCCTGTAGGTCTTTACATGGGAGGGTTTCATATCAGAGGAAAAGATTTGATTACAGCAAAATTGAGTCCACTATTAGACCACACTTTTGTCTGCACCATAAACAGGCTTGAAACAAGGACTGGATCATCTTGTGAAGTAACATCCAAAATTTGGAGTTTCTAGACAAATATATGCCAATGGATTCTGACTAAATTTTAGATGGGCACATGTGAAGTAGCATCCACACTTGGTTAAAATTTGGGTTGTAAACAAATACACAACTTCGGATTTTGACCAAGTTTGGGTTTCAAGGGTCAAGACAGGTGTTGGACAGGTCCTGGGCATATGACGTACAGGAATATGGCACGTATTACTGATACCACAAACCAAATATCTGTAGCTTGTCAAACAAGATACATGAAAGTGGATGTATGTTTACAGAAAGTAGCCTGAGAGAGAAAGGGGAGACAACTGTGATTGACAGGATGGAGCTTATGTTTAAAGTACTGGACATGTATCCAGGTGAGTTCTCCTACTTCTACCCTGTACTATACTCTGCTCCAGCAGAACCTTGGACGACAGACCTGAAACAAACAGGAGATCTTGATGTGAAAACAAGTCACTCACCCGTGGTATGAATTCAGTACAAGTTTTAAGTGTCTTGAGCAATTGCTAAGACACCAAAATGCCACTTGGAAATCAGTCTTTGAAAAATATCTTAAAGAAGGCATTAAGTGAACAGAGCTCCAGATAAGATTTAGCTAATGTGGGTACTGTACCCACTGTATTTTATTTTTTTGAGTGGGTATTATGAATGTTGAGTGGGTATTTCATTTTCCGTTACCCACTGCTTTCAAGTATGTACTTATTTCAGTCATTTTACTCACCTAAGTATTGTGTCATTGAGTAAGTTTACTAAGCAGGTATGTTCTGCCTTAAGTCATACCTAATCAAAACCAACTTAAATATAAGGGAAATGATTTCATAAAAAATCAGTCATCCTATACTGACAGTACAACACTTGTCCTATACTAACAGTACAACTTGATAGCAATCGATGTCTTTTTCATTACTCAAGCGATTTTTATAAGTATATTCCGTACGCATTTGTTTTAAACTATTTGCGTATCTAACAGTTTAAATGTGTAATTTGTATGCAACAATTATTTTTCAATGCATAATTGGAAATTTTTATTGCGTATTTTACCTGGATACGCAGCTTATTTGGGCCTCTGAAGTGAAGCAAATGTTCATGTTGTGTGCAGAGAGTGCTGAGATCAACCTGCGCCTGGGCAGCTTGAATCAAGAGATCAACCAGATGGAATCAGCTGAGAGCTACTTGGAAAAGGCTGTCCAGATTGACCCGTACTTTGTCATGGCCCTTCTCACTCTGGCTGAGGTGAAGGCTAAGGTAAGTTGGGGCAGTGGGGTAGCCTAGTGGGTAAGGTGGTCTATGGTCTCACTGAAGACCCAGTGTAACAGGCCAAACTTTCCCCCTGGCCAAACCTTCCCCGGGGAAACTTTAACCTAGGCCAAACTTTCCCCCCCTATGCTTAATCTTCCCCAGGGAAAGTTTGTCCTAGGCCAAACTTTTCCCACCCTTGAATCAACTTAAAGGCTATTTGTTTCAAAGCCTTGTTCTTATATCAAAAGAAGGAGATTCTGGCCAAGCTAGGCTGTTTCTTCCCAAATCTTGTTTTCATGTTTATGTTCATCTTGAAGAAACAAGAAACAAAAACAAGACATAGCTATTCACGTGAACACATTGATAAGATATTCATGTTGATGTCAAGTTCCATTAACAATTTACAGGTCATCTTCATCTTCATATATAACATGTACATGGTTCACATTTTGTTTCAATACCCTTCTATAAGGTGAGATTAAAAAGAAAAGCAAGCATAAAAGCAAAGATATTATATCATTACTATTGTTTTATATTATCATTTACTTATTTTTGTATTTCAATAATTTACTTATCCCCACTTACTCCAAATTGGCTTATCTCAAAATCATTACTATATTCAAACTTTAACTAAATACCCAGTTTTTACTTGGATGTCCATATCCATTCAAAATTTTATTCCCTAACTCATGGCTTTGAATATGGCATCCATGTCGGCGACATCAACTTAACAGTTGGAAGCAGATGTAAACAACTTTCATTAAAAACAAAGGTGGGGAGAAGTAGCCTAGGTAGGCCAGAATCTCCCCCTTTTGATATAAAAACAAGGGTGAGAAAGAAGTAGCCTAGCTAGGCCAGAATCTCCCCCTTTTGATATAAAAACAAGGGTGAGAAGAAGTAGCCTAGCTAGGCCAGAATCTCCCCCTTTTGATATAAAAACAAGGGTGAGGAAAGAAGTAGCCTAGCTAGGCCAGAATCTCCCCCTTTTGATATAAAGACAAGGGTGAGAAAGAAGTAGCCTAGCTAGGCCAGAATCTCCCCCTTTTGATATAAAAACAAGGGTGAGGAAGAAGTAGCCCAGCTAGGCCAGAATCTCCCCTTTGATATAAAAAAACAAGGGTGAGGGAAGAAGTAGCCTAGCTAGGCCAGAATCTCCCTTTTGATATAAAAAACAAGGGTGAGGAAGAAGTAGCCTAGCTAGGCCAGAATCTCCCCCTTTGATATAAAACAAGGGTGAGGGAAGAAGTAGCCTAGCTAGGCCAGAATCTCCCCCTTTGATATAAAAACAAGGGTGGGGAAGAAGTAGCCTAGGTAGGCCAGAATCTCCCCCTTTTGATATAAAAACAAGGGTGGGGAAGAAGTAGCCTAGCTAGGCCAGAATCTCCCCCTTTTGATATAAAGACAAGGGTGAGGAAGAAGTAGCCTAGCTAGGCCAGAATCTCCCCCTTTTGATATAAAAACAAGGGTGAGGGGAAGAAGTAGCCTAGCTAGGCCAGAATCTCCCCCTTTTGATATAAAGACAAGGGTGGGGAAGAAGTAGCCTAGGTAGGCCAGAATCTCCCCCTTTTGATATAAAAACAAGGGTGAGGGAAGAAGTAGCCTAGCTAGGCCAGAATCTCCCCTTTGATATAAAAACAAGGGTGAGGGAAGAAGTAGCCTAGGTAGGCCAGAATCTCCCCTTTGATATAAAAACAAGGGTGGGGAAGAAGTAGCCTAGCTAGGCCAGAATCTCCCTTTGATATAAAAACAAGGGTGAGGAAGAAGTAGCCTAGGTAGGCCAGAATCTCCCCTTTGATATAAAAACAAGGGTGAGGGAAGAAGTAGCCTAGGTAGGCCAGAATCTCCCCTTTGATATAAAAACAAGGGTGGGGGAAGAAGTAGCCTAGGTAGGCCAGAATCTCCCCCTTTGATATAAAAAAAAGGGTGTGGGAAGAAGTAGCCTAGGTAGGCCAGAATCTCCCCTTTGATATAAAACAAGGGTGGGGGAAGAAGTAGCCTAGCTAGGCCCAGAATCTCCCCTTTGATATAAAAACAAGGGTGAGGGAAGAAGTAGCCTAGCTAGGCCAGAATCTCCCTTTTGATATAAAACAAGGGTGGGGAAGAAGTAGCCTAGGGTAGGCCAGAATCTCCCCTTTGATATAAAAACAAGGGTGGGGAAGAAGTAGCCTAGGTAGGCCAGAATCTCCCCTTTGATATAAAACAAGGGTGAGGGAAGAAGTAGCCTAGCTAGGCCAGAATCTCCCCTTTGATATAAAAACAAGGGTGGGGAAGAAGTAGCCTAGCTAGGCCAGAATCTCCCCTTTGATATAAAAGACAAGGGTGGGGAAGAAGTAGCCTAGGTAGGCCAGAATCTCCCCCCTTTGATATAAAAACAAGGGTGGGGGAAGAAGTAGCCTAGGTAGGCCAGAATCTCCCCCTTTGATATAAAAAACAAGGGTGAGGGAAGAAGTAGCCTAGGTAGGCCAGAATCTCCCCTTTGATATAAAAAACAAGGGTGGGGGAAGAAGTAGCCTAGGTAGGCCAGAATCTCCCCTTTGATATAAAAACAAGGGTGTGGGAAGAAGTAGCCTAGGTAGGCCAGAATCTCCCCCTTTGATATAAAACAAGGGTGGGGAAGAAGTAGCCTAGGTAGGCCAGAATCTCCCTTTGATATAAAAACAAGGGTGAGGAAGAAGTAGCCTAGGTAGGCCAGAATCTCCCCTTTTGATATAAAAAAACAAGGGTGAGGAAGAAGTAGCCTAGGTAGGCCAGAATCTCCCCTTTGATATAAAACAAGGGTGGGGAAGAAGTAGCCTAGCTAGGCCAGAATCTCCCCTTTGATATAAAACAAGGGTGGGGAAGAAGTAGCCTAGGTAGGCCAGAATCTCCCCCTTTTGATATAAAAACAAGGGTGGGGAAGAAGTAGCCTAGGTAGGCCAGAATCTCCCCCTTTTGATATAAAAACAAGGGTGAGGAAGAAGTAGCCTAGGTAGGCCAGAATCTCCCCCTTTTGATATAAAAACAAGGGTGGGGAAGAAGTAGCCTAGGTAGGCCAGAATCTCCCCTTTGATATAAAAACAAGGGTGGGGAAGAAGTAGCCTAGGTAGGCCAGAATCTCCCTTTGATATAAAAACAAGGGTGGGGAAGAAGTAGCCTAGGTAGGCCAGAATCTCCCCTTTGATATAAAAACAAAGGTAGGGGAAGAAGTAGCCTAGCTAGGCCAGAATCTCCCCCTTTGATATAAAAACAAGGGTGGGAAAGAAGTAGCCTAGCTAGGGCCAGAATCTCCCCTTTGATATAAAAACAAGGGTGGGGAAGAAGTAGCCTAGGTAGGCCAGAATCTCCCCTTTGATATAAAAACAAGGGTGGGGAAGAAGTAGCCTAGGTAGGCCAGAATCTCCCCCTTTTGATATAAAAACAAGGGTGGGGAAGAAGTAGCCTAGGTAGGCCAGAATCTCCCCCTTTTGATATAAAAACAAGGGTGGGGAAGAAGTAGCCTAGGTAGGCCAGAATCTCCCTTTGATATAAAAACAAGGGTGGGGAAGAAGTAGCCTAGGTAGGCCAGAATCTCCCCTTTTGATATAAAAACAAGGGTGAGGAAGAAGTAGCCTAGGTAGGCCAGAATCTCCCCTTTGATATAAAAAAACAAGGGTAGGGAAGAAGTAGCCTAGGGTAGGCCAGAATCTCCCTTTGATATAAAAACAAGGGTGGGGAAGAAGTAGCCTAGGTAGGCCAGAATCCCCCTTTGATATAAAACAAGGGTGTGGAAGAAGTAGCCTAGGTAGGCCAGAATCTCCCCTTTGATATAAAAAACAAGGGTGGGGAAGAAGTAGCCTAGGTAGGCCAGAATCTCCCTTTGATATAAAAACAAGGGTGAGGAAGAAGTAGCCTAGGTAGGCCAGAATCTCCCCTTTGATATAAAAAACAAGGGTGAGGGAAGAAGTAGCCTAGCTAGGCCAGAATCTCCCTTTGATATAAAAAACAAGGGTGGAGGAAGAAGTAGCCTAGGTAGGCCAGAATCTCCCCACTTTGATATAAAACAAGGGTGGGGAAGAAGTAGCCTAGGTAGGCCAGAATCTCCCCTTTGATATAAAAGACAAGGGTGATGGGAAGAAGTAGCCTAGGTAGGCCAGAAACTCCCTTTGATATAAAACAAGGGTAGGGAAGAAGTAGCCTAGGTAGGCCAGAATCTCCCCTTTGATATAAAAACAAGGGCGAGTAAGAAGTAGCCTAGGTAGGCCAGAATCTCCCTTTGATATAAAAACAAGGGTAGGGAAGAAGTAGCCTAGCAGGGCCTGAATCTCCCCTTTGATATAAAAGACAAGGGTGGGGGAAGAAGCAGCCTAGGTAGGCCCAGTGAAAACCCCTTTGATATAAAACAAGGGTAGGGGAAGAAGCAGCCTAGGTGTAGGCCCAGAATCTCCCCTTTGATATAAAAACAAGGGTGAGGAAGAAGTAGCCTAGGGTAAGCCAGAATCTCCCTTTTGATATAAAACAAGGGTGGGGGAAGAAGTAGCCTAGCTAGGCCAGAATCTCCCTTTGATATAAAAACAAGGGTGGTGGGGAAGAAGCTAGGGCCTCTCCCCTTTGATATAAAGACAAGGGTGGGGAAGGCCAGAAACTGTGGGAAACCCCTTTGATATAAAAACAAGGGTAGGGAAGAAGCACCCCTAGGTAGGCCAGAATCTCCCCTTTGATATAAAAACAAGGGCTGAGGAAGAAGTAGCCTAGGTAGGCCAGAATCTCCCTTTTGATATAAAAAAACAAGGGTAGGGAAGAAGTAGCCTAGGTGGCCTGAATCTCCCTTTGATATAAAAAGACAAGGGTGGGGAAGAAGTAGCCTAGGTAGGCCAGAAACTCCCCTTGATATAAAAACAAGGGTAGGGAAGAAGTAGCCTAGGTAGGCCAGAATCTCCCTTTGATATAAAACAAGGGTGAGGAAGAAGTAGCCTAGGTAGGCCAGAATCTCCCCTTTTGATATAAAAACAAGGGTGAGGAAGAAGTAGCCTAGGTAGGCCAGAATCTCC